GAGCCAAGACCGTATCACTGCAACGCAGCCTGGGTGACAAAGCAAGACTTTGTCACCAAAAAAAAAAGAAAAAAGAAAAAAGAGAGAGAGAAAAGAATATAACAAGTGCATTTTAAATATTTACATTAAATGTCAAGGACATGCACCTTACCTGCAACCTATCTGTGAGACATGATTGATTAAAAAAAGATGCTGTTTTTTGTAGACATACCAACCATCTTAATGCTTAGGTATTTTTGCAAATGAAAAGATGACGTAAGATTTGATGTTGTAAATCTGATATGAATTAGATTAAAAGTAGTGTCATAATTAAAGGTCATATTTCTGATCAAGAAACGATGTCTAACTTTTCATTTCATTTTCATTAAAATGAACAAAATGAAAATATTGTTTCAAAAACAATATTTAAGACTGCAAATTATTTTAGACAGTCCCAAAGAGAGTAGATCTATGGATCAAACTTTTCAAAATGTGTTTCTTAAGACACCAATCCCACTGTATGTCACAGTTACAAGGAACACTGTCCTGTCATCAGATGAATTTGGGAGATACTGAGTTAAACACTCAAATTGTTTTCTTTCCTGCAGGACTTCTGAGAGACAAATGTTATTGTATGGTGTGAATTTTTAAGAAGGATGAAATGAAGCAGTGCCTCCCAAACATATTTGACCACTAAACTCTCTTAATGTATAAGATCTCATGGGCAACATCTATGCACACACATTGGTAGATACTGCTCTGTGGGAGCTCTGAACCTCCATTTATTTTGGCTTCAAACATCAGTTCTAATCTTTAACAGCAATATGTTCTTCTCAGCAAGAAATTTCAGGTTGAGAAATAACAGAAATACGGAAGAAGAAAACTAGAAAATTGGGATGCAACACATAATATAGCTTCCCTGGAACCACAGGTTGTGAACTTGTTTTATTCCATTCTTTTAATTAATAAGGAGATAAATAGAATCATGAGCTCTTCAGCGTGAATATGTGTCATTTAAATGAGATGTTAAAAGCTAAAACTATAACTGCTCTCAAGAGACATTAAAGAGATCAGACTTTCATAAGAATGAAAGTTCGGCATGAATTCTTTGGCAATATTCCTGGCTCTTGCCTAAAATGTGCTGTTGAACAGGAGATGAGCCATACCTCCATGATATTAAGGGGCTGGCAGCCTGATGAAAAGTAAGCTTTGAAAGTGCTTGGGGACAATGGGCCGTGATTGTTGGGAGAGAGTGAGAAATCATCACTGAAAAGGCAGTAATGGAAAAAGTCAAGCAATCTCACTACAGACCTCAATAACCACCCTCCATCTTTCCTGCCTATCTCAGAGGCCTCTGTCTGGGCAGAACAAACTACTTTGTCAGGCATAGTGTGAAGGCACAAGGAGGAGAATAAGTTCAACTGAAGGACCATTTACTGGGGCCAACACACTACGACCAAATCACTGCATTTAGCTCTGAAAGAGAAGGCACATTTCGGTAGATGCTGTCCCGATCTTCGAGGAACAGGCAGAGCAGGATGTAGGCTTATTTTACACAAAAATAAATTCCTTGAAATATGTAGTACATTTTATGTTACCAAAAGAAAGGGAGAGTTCACCTTTGGCTGGAGGAATCAGGAAAGATTCCACATAGGAGACAAAAAGTAGGCTTTTTGCTTTGCTGATAGAATAATTGACTGCTATACTTACTTTCTTTTTCTGTACTCTTCACCAGTAATGCAACATGTCCCAAAAGACTGGAAGCTCTGCTGAGGGCAGGAAGCAAGCATCTTTCATCTTTGTACTTTCCACTTCTCCTGGCATACTCTTAGACATTAATAGATGGCTAATAATGTTTTATGAGTTAAACTGAGTATTGAATAACACTGGAATAAGAGTAACTTTGGCTTTGGGTAGTTTTTATGGCGCAACTCAAATTTATTAAGGAAAATTATAAGTAGTATTTACTAAACTGTGCATAATCCACAGCCTTTCTCTTACTAGCTGCCCTCTGAAGTACATCCATAATTCCTTGCTCCATATTTTCTAATTCTTCAAAGGCCATTCCTAGTGAATTAATGCAAATCTCTTTAAGGCATCAAAGAGTGAGCCTGGATGTGGTTATTGTCTCAAGGATGACATCAAACCCCATTCTCGTGCCTCAAAGGATACCAATACCTGAAGACACTTATAGCAGACTGGGTCAGAGCCAGTTTGCAGTTGAAGCTGTCCTTGTCCTTAACCACAACTCTGTTCTTGGCTGGGACTTTCTGAAAGGTAAAAATCCAATCTCTTCTGTCCATTCACCCATCAGGTCAAGAAACACCTGCTTCCCATCCAAATCCATCCAGCATGGGATCTTTACCAAGAATGTGTTGAGCTCCAAAGATAAACCAAAAACAGGAAAGCTGAGTGAGGAAGAGAGCATTTATCTAAGGGAATCCTAGAATTTAAATCTGTAGCCTTGGAATTAAAGGTGCAGTAAATATAGGCCTATAGTAAATTGCTTATGATGTAATAAACTAGAATTATGGATGTGGCAATAAAGAGAGGCAATAGAATATTGTATATTTAAGGAGCAGCTATCAGCAAAGGAATAGATCAAACTGCCATCTTGTTTTCTGTTGATAGCTTCTGGAATGGTTATTATTCCACAGGAATGCAAAACAGGAGTCAACACTACAAACACTTTCCATGTCTTGATTGTCAGCTAATGGTTTTACCTTTCTTCCTGGATGACCTCACAGATGGTCACAACAGGCACACAGAAGTTAGTTAAGGGAGCAAGCGAGCTTTGTTAGAATACATACGGTATCTTGGCACTGTCACATTCTGAATAGGAAAATACCATAAACAAAAAACTCAATGTGTTGTACAGTACAGCTATGTGCCATATTTGCAAAAATCATGCTAGAGAGTTAAAAATTGCTATTTGAAGAACTGAATAAAATAACATTTTACAAAGAGAAAAGAAACACAGCAATTAAAAGTGACCAATATGAAAACTTCCTAAAGACAACTGAGATACTGCATTAGTTTCCTGTGTCTATCATCACAAATTACCACCGATGGTGGCTTAAAACGACAGAAATTTATTCTCTCACAGATCCCACAGGCCAGAAGCCTGAAATCCAGGTATTAGCAGGCTCTTATTTTCTCTGAGGGCTCTAGGAGAAATTCATTTCTTTGTTTCCTCCAGCTTCTGGTGGCTCAGTCATTCCTTGGCTTCTGGCTGCATCACTCCAGTCTCTGTCTGTTTTTGTTTGTTTTGTTTTTTGAGATGGAGTCTTGTTCTGTCACCCAGGCTGGAGTGCAGTGGTGCTATCACGGCTCACTGCAACCTCTGCCTCTCAAATGCAAGCAATTCTCCGCCTCAGCCTCCTGAGTGGCTGGGATTACAGGTGCCCGCCACCATGCCTGGCTAATTTTTGTATTTTAATAGAGATGGGGCTTTGCCCTGTTGACCAGTCTGGTCTCAAACTCCTGACCTCAAGTGACCCATCTGCCTCTTTAAATCTACACGTACTCCTAGGTGATGCCATTCAGTCTCATGGCTTTAAATGCCACCTTTATGGTGATGACTCCCAAATTTCTATGTCTAGGCCCAATCTCTCCCCCATAAGATCCAGACTGATATATCTAACTTCACAGCTGGCCTCTCCACTTGGACTTTAAAAAAATAAAAAAATAATTTAAAAAACTTTAAGTTCAGTGGTACATGCACAGTTTTGTATATAGGTAAATATGTGTCATGGGGGTTTGCTGTGCAGATAATTTCATCACCCAACTATTAAGTCTAGTACCCATTAGTTATTTTTCCTGATCCTCTCCCTCCTCCCATCCTTTGTCCTCCAATAGGCCCCAGTGTGTGTTGTTCCCTTCTACGTGTCCATGTGTTCTCATCATTTGGCTCCCACTTATACATGAGAACACGTGGTCTTTGGTTTTCTGTTCCTGCAGCAGTTTGCTGAGGATGATAGCTTCACTTGGACTTCTAGTAGGCAGCACGAAAGAATCATGTCCCAAGTCAAGCCCCTTCTGCATCGCTCCTCGTCTTGGTCAATGGCAATTTCAAGCCAAAAACCTGATGTTATCCTCGACTCCATTCCTCTCACTTATGCTTCATCAGCAAATCCTGCTGAAGTCCTTCAGATTTTGTCGAGAACTCAACCACTTTTTGTCACATCCCAGTCCCACTAATCTGTACAAAGCTGTCATCACCTCTCATCTGGATTATTGAAATAGACTCTTACTGGAATAGCCTATTATTGCAACAGCTCCGAGGACAGATCTCCCTGTGCTTTGTTCTTGCCCTTCTCCTCCCTTCAGTCTATTCTTAATACAGAAGCCAGCTGGATTCTCTTGAAATATGTCATATCATTTCACTCCTCTGCTCAAAGATGGCCAGTGGTTTCCCATCTCACCCAGAATAAAACCCACAGCCCTGTGGTGGCCCTTAAGGCCCTCTGTGATCTGCTCCAATCCACCCGTCACTTCTCTGAGCTCATCTTCTACCAGTCCGAGCCCAGCTTACCCAACTTCAGTCTCACTCTTCCTCAAAAATAGCATTAGGCTGCTCCCACCTTAGACATTACATTTTCCCTGGCTGCAACGCTCTTCTCCCAATATCTTTAGAGTGGTTTTCTCATTACCTTCAGGCTTTTGCTCAAAAGTTGCCCTCCTAGCAAGGAATTTCCTTGCCTCTCACTCTGACATGTCAATGCCCGTCTTCCTGTTCGTGACCAATTCCCCTTCTAAAATAAAAGCTACAAAAGTAAGATGTGTATCTCTTGCTCACTGGCACATCCCAGTGCCTCACACAGTATCTGGCTAGACATTTTACAAATAAATGAAGAAATAAATGAACAAATCGTTGGATGAGTGAGTTATTCATTAGAATCATGGACATGATATACATATATATACACACACATATATACATACATATACACATATATATGATATATACACATATATACCATATATATAACCATGTATATATATATAACCATGAACTGAAGTAAAACAACAACAACTAAATATAGGAGAATTGTAATTCTATCACATTTCCAAAATGGTTATCATTGGAATATATTTACCATTACAAGGTAAGTTGAGTCCTTGAGAGGAACAAAATGGAAAACCATTATTTTCCTGTGTGGTTTTCTTTTTTTATCATTAAATGAGATTGATTCTCTGCCACAATGAAACATTGTCTGAAATTCCTTTTGGAAAGAAGAAGGTAAATTTAATACGTTCACTCACCTCTCAGCACAGGCCTCATCTAGAGACAGATGGAATCAGTAGGCAGCAGTGGAATTCCCTCCCTTTAAGGTTCTTACCCGTAACGATGGCTTCAGTTTTCACCATGTTACACTGAGTTGATTTGGATATCTCCCTGTTCCATGGAAACAGTCATTGAAAAGCAGGTTAGGAAGTATCCTTGGAACCTAAAAAAAAAAAAGTCAATCAGTGAGACCTAGAGCCAGGCATGCTTTTTTTCATATTAAGATTGCTGAATCCACCCCTTTGACATTATGATTCTCTCCATATGGTGTGGGATTAAGGGAAAGTTTGGAAGTCGTTGCTGTGGGTTTACCTTGGGTGTCCTCACAAATAGCACATCATTGATCTTAGCCTTCTCTAAGTGTTACCTTTTGCCTACAATGATTGTATTGTTGAACCAGCAGTTGTGATTGAGAACAATTCTCCTGTAAGTCTAGATGGAATTATGTGGCAAACCCAAAAGCCTTTATGACAACCCTTCATTGCACCCATCATCCCCACTTAAAGACCACCAGCTGGGTATACAGGATGCTGCCAACTGTGGCTTCCATCTGTGTTTATGTAGTCACAAAACACAACTGCCTGCATCCTCACTGCACCTCACTGGTTCAAGAGTCTACCCAAAACAGACAGAAACGCTCCTGTGTTGACGGAACTCTGCTGTCTAGACCAAGATTTCAAGTGAATTCCTCTTGGCTTATCTTAAATTACTGTGCTGTAAAGTCGGAATCTTATTAGAAGAGAATATTACTTGAATATATGTGATTTCCTTTAAAATTATTTTCAATTTCAAAGCCCTTGGGGGGGGGGGAAGAAGATGCTGGCCAGGCACAGTAGCTCACGCCTATAATCCCAACCACTTGGGAGGCCAAAGCAGGCAGATCACCTGAGGTCAGGAGTTCAAGACCAGCCTGACCAACATGCTGAAACCCTCTCTCTACTAAAAATACAAAAATCAGCCAGTCGTGGTGGTGCATGCCTGTAATCCCAGCTACTAGGGAGGCTGAGGCAGGAGAATTGCTTGAACCTAGGAGCCAGAGGTTGCAGTGAGCCGAGATGGCACCATTGTACTCCAGACTGGGTGACAGTGCGAGACTCCATCTCAAAAAAAAAAAAAAAAAAAAAAATGCTGATAAATATACTAGTCTGTGCTAGGTTTGCTATAAAAACAAAAACAAAAAACCAACCAAGTGAAAAAGACCATAGACTTGGTGGCTTAAACAACAGACACTTAATTTCTCTCAGTTCTAGAGGCTGGAAGTCCAAGATCAAGGTGTCAGCAGGTTTGGTTTCTCCAGAGGCCTCACTCCATGGCTTGCAGGTGGCCTCCTTCTGACTCGGCTCTCACATGGCCTTTCCTCTGTGTGCACAAGTCCCTGGTATATCTCTGTGTGTCCAGATTTTCTCTTCTTATAAGGGCCAGTCAGACTGGATTAAGGCCTACCCTAGCCGCCTCATTGTAACCTAGTCACTGTTTTAAAGACACTATCTCCAAATACAGTCACATTTTGAGGAACCAGGGGTGAGGTCTGCAACATATAAATTTAAGGGAGGATGCAGTTCAGTCCATAACAGTGACTTACAAAAACAGCAAGTCGCATCTGAGTTTCAAAGCTACTCCAGAATGTAGGCACAGGCCTTATTGTCTCATACCCTTTGTTTAGTGACCGTATGTGGCACCTTGTCTCAGGTGAGGGAACATACAGTATGAAGGACAGAGCATTTTAGCATCAGCATTATTTGTACCAACATCTATCCTTCCCAGAAAAGTACGGTGGGAATAATCAGGACAAGGTCCTTATAAGTAAATCCTAAATATGAACATGTATTAATTAGAAAGCATTAATTTTTCAGAATTCTTATCTATTCTGGTGTTTACAAGCAGTATGATTTTACCCTTATCATTTTAAATGGCACAAATATCCACATAAGAAAACAGACTCATTACTCAAAAAAAAAAGCCAAACTTCTTTCACTTTCTGACCCTTTGCTTGGACAATGGTGGGTGAGGTGGGGAAGAGGCTGGTGAGGTGGATATTAAGCATGCCCTCTGACCCTTGATCAAACTTCCTAACGATGATCAGACAGAGGATTACTGCCCAACAATTCCCAGTCTATAAAGACTGGCACGTGATCTGTACCCACTCAAACTGATCTACAACATAGAAAAGACAAAAAATAGATTAACAAAGGACAAAACATAGTTTAACAATACTTCTCATGCTTCAGGTACACATGAGCAATGGAAGAGAACATGGATAACTCAGGCCTGCCGATTTTGAGGTTTCTCACCCTCCTGTGTTCCATCTGCCATGCTCTACTTTTCTCAAGAATTATAGCAGAATGAAAAAGCTTTTTCTTCATCCTGAGCTCTCAGAGTCCTGCTTTCTCCCTTCACCCACTGCCCTGGCTTGGGAAATTTCAAAAATAAAAGGGGAGGCGGCAGCTTTGCCTCTCTTCCTTGAGCCTAAGCTAGATTTTTATTTCAATTTCCTAACCCTTCCATGGTCCGCTGCATTGTTAGGAGTAGAAGTCAGGTCAGCTCAAATGAGAGAGAGGGAAAGGAAGAGGAACAGAGGGATGAACAAGGTAGGGATTTCTTGTCTCAAATCAATGGGCCTCCAAATGAATGAGGCCAGAGGTTCACAACATGAAGACCCCAAAAGCCTTCAGACGTCTCATTCACAGCTCACACTCACAATTATTAGATAAAAGAAGTAAAAAGGGAGGAAGGGAGGGAGGCAGAGAGAGAGAAAGAGAAAAAGAAAGAAAGAAAGAAAGAAAGAAAGAAAGAAAGAAGAAAGAAAGAAAGAAAGAAAGAAAGAAAGAAAGAAAGAAAGGAAGGAAGGAAGGAAGGAAGGAAGGAAGGAAGGAAGGAAGGAAGGAAGGAAGGAAGGAAGGGAAAGAGAAAGAAAGAAAGAAAGAAAGAAAGAAAGAAAGAAAGAAAGAAAGAAAGAAAGAAAGAAAGAAAGAAAGAAAGAAAGAAAGAAGGGAGGGAGGGAGGGAGGGAGGGAGGGAGGGAGGGAAGGAAGGAAGGAAGGAAGGAAGGAAGGAAGGAAGGAAGGAAGGAAGAGAGAGAGAGAGAGAGAAAAGAGGAAGGAGAGGAAAAAGAGAAAGGTAGAGAGAGAACAAGAAGGAGAGAAGGAAAGATGGAAGGAAGAAATTATGCAAGGGCTCCAATGTGTGTGCCCCTTTATTCTTCTTATTAAAGACTCTACATCCCGTTTTGTTGTACCTGAAGCTATGGGGAGGAGAAGGAGGGAGGAAGTGGCTAATCCTTAAACAGTCTGCCCACATATCAGGTAATGGTCTGACTCCTGTTAATGCCTTTCTCCTGTTTCTGTCAGATCTCACTTTTTTGGTACTTCACCAGCTTTCTATATACCTCGTACCACAGTAGATCTCTGGCATTTATCAGCAACCCTCTCTTGGAGAAAGAGAGTGTGATGGGGTCTTAAGCTAATGACACCTGGTGAAAAAATGAAAAAAAAATTTCTCTGAAAGTGACAAAACAGTTTACCTGCACACTACCCAAGCACATAATGAAAACACTTGTAATTCCCTTAAACCCAGGTTCATTTGGCTTTATGTGATAGACAGCTATACAGCGAAAGAATAGTTTTGAGGTGAGTAGTCAGTTCACCAGTTGGTGCCCAACTCCTCTTTTTATTTCCATTATCCAGGTACAATAATATAAAAACATATTTCTAGGGAATTTTTGAGTTTTCAGGGCACTTTGATTACATTTTCTCATTTGCTTTATAGAGCAATTCTCCAAGGGAAGCAAGACAACATTATTGGCCCACATGTATGAGACAAAGAACAACAGAAGTAACTTGATGAAATGAAAACATTTACATTTTTTGGAGATTCAGATACCAGAGTCAGTCCCAGACAATACTGTGACTTTGAATAAGCAGGATATAATGCGTAATCTTCCCATTCACTTTTTCATTTTTCCAAAAATGGAAAAAATCCTCCTGTGTTGACTGTTATGAAGCGTAATTAAACATATGTAAAAGAGCGATTTCGAAATAATTTTATTTCTGATACTTAAAAATCCTCCTCAAAGAGGAAGTAGGTAGATCAGGTTTCAAAGTTCAGAATTTCTGCTTCCTATTCAGGTATTTGTTTCCTCCAAGCAGCCTACCCTATACAGATTAATGGTGCTCACATCCATGCCAGTGATTGACTTTTCCCCTAAATAGTTGCAGCCTGAACATCCTAAAGATGCCTTGGTCTCCCCAAGGATGCTGATTCTGAGTAAGACACAGTCTCTCTCCATGTGGGCTCTCCCTGTGGGATTGAGGAGATAGACAAGTAAATAAGTAATTGCTAATCATCACCGTGGAAGCCCTATCACCAGGCAGCCCTCTGTATGGGTCACCTAGATGGTGGCAGTGAGACGGCCTTACATCCACCTTCTGGTGACCAAGTGTCTTTTCTGTCATCTTGTCACCTCACTGTTCAGCATCCACCAACAGTTCTGAGAGGAACTGAAAATCAACTCCAGAGTCTCTCCCTACCGCTGTCTGACAAAAGTAAAACACAAATTCACTTGAACAGCAACATTTTTCCTTACGTTCATTTAAATGGCTCCTTAGCGAAAGCTTAACATTACCAAATAACTCTGTCACGTAATTTTCCTTTTTTTAATTTTTAGTTTTTGTGGGTCCATAGTAGTTGTATCATCATATAGTTTTCAACTATGATTTCTCAGAAGACAGGGAAATTATCTATACCTGAATGCCTCATATTATCCGCCTACAAAAGCCAGAAATATTTCCGAAAGGAACCAAAATAATTCACTACAAACCATCTTAGCTTTCACAACCCAGCACTGTAGTTAGTTATTTAATAAAGTCAGTTCAGCAGGAACATTACAGTTGTGTATTTGTTTATTGCTTTTCTTTCAAAGCAGGATCAGGGTAATTTCTTTGGATTAGAATCTGTCTGTTGGAGTTCACTTTCTAACAAAGAATGCACATAAATGATGCGTATGATGGGTGATTGTGATTTTCGTTTCAAAATTTTTATATTCTTTTTCTTCCCCCTTTGAATGGGGAGAGAACTTAGAGCACTTGTAAATCAATCTAGAGTAGACAAGTTGGGAAAAACCTACAATTGACTTTTGGTAAGGGATCACTCAATAATGAGAATAGAT